TGTTGGTGGTTCTTCTTTGTTCATCAAATAACTGTGTGTTAGTTGGGTGTGATCTATTCGAAGACGGTTAATCAATGTTTTTTCTTTTCTGGCGAGTCCAGGGTTTTGCCATAGTCCTATTTTGTTTTTTATTCTGTTCAGTTTGGTGCTGAGATTTTGCCAGTGAAAGAGCTATTTTTTCTTCTTGGTTAGTATTTTCGGAGTGTTTGTGTCATTTCTTCAACTTTTATGGGTGAATTAAGGTTTATTTAGTCGATGTGTGACATTATTATTTGGTTTTCTTCAAGGTCCCTTTTTTTTCGATGAATGTTGCGTCTTATATATTATCGCTGAAATCGTCTTGGAAATATTGGCCTATTTGGTTGGCCACATCTTCTTGGTTAGTTATAATATTTTGATTTTCTTTTAAAATTATTTCGTTTTGCCTGTTGAGTCCTTTTAGCGAGCGGATTTTGTTCCAAACTTCTGTCGTTTTGGTGTGTACATTTATGCTTTGTGTGTAGTTGATCCATGATATTCTTTTGCTATTTTTGATTAGGAATTTAGTTCTGGCTCTTAGTTTTTTGAGGTTTATTAGGTTTTCTTGAGAATTGTTTTTCTGGAAAATTTTTAGGGCTTTATTTTTGTTTTTAATAGCTACTTTTATTTCCTCGTCCCACCAAGGAGCTCTTGGTTTTTTGAAGTTGTGTGATATGCTTAAGGTTTTTTATGCTGTTTCGGTAATTTGGTTTGTAAAATGTAGTGTTTTTCCCTCTGTGCTTTTTGTATTTTGTAGGTTTAAGTGATAACTTTCTTCTTTTAATAATTTTTTGTAAAGTGTACAATTTAGGTTTTTTAAGTTCCATCTTGAGTTATTTAAGGTCTCCTCGTGTTCAATCAATACTGCATTTACCTCAAAGCCGCTGTTTATCTTTTATTTCCTTGGCGGGGATGTTTGATTTTACGTATATTGAGGTTTCCCCGGTGGCTCTATTTGCTACTGTTCGGTTTTTGCTATAGCCGTTGTAGATTTTAAGGGGGGCGGTGTAATTATCTTTAAAGTTTGTTTCCTGTATGCAAATGATTTGTGGATTGTGGTTTTGTATTGTGAATTCTTCCAGCTTTTTGTGGAAGCCATTAAGGTTCCATTGTAGGATGTTTAACATATTTTGTTTTTTTAATCTTACGAACAGGGTGTCATGTAAAGTTCTACCGAGCTTCAAATGAGACATTTAGGATACTTTAAGGGTACAATAAATGGTATTCATTTTTTTAATTTTAAAATTATTTAAAATAGATCTCGTACCCAATTTAAATGGTCTTACGAATAAAATAATTTTAGATTTGAAATCAGGAGAAAAAATTTTGTTGAACTGATATGTAACATATTTTTTTAGTATCTGACCACACATGCGTCCACCGAGTGACCAAAACCAACTTATGAGTTGTGACACATCATTTTGGGTTAGAATTTTATTCTTAATTCAGTGGTGTTCTTAGTATTATTTTATATTAAATTATGTGTCGCATGCCATATGTTGGTTTTAGTCACATGCCGGCCACTCAGTGGCCACCCTGTGGACGTATGTGTGGCCAGATACCAAAAAATAATGTTACATATCAATTCAACAAGATTTTTTGTCTTGATTTCAAATCTGAAATTTGTTTTTCGCAAGACCAATTTTTAATGAGATTCGAGTTCTATTTTAAACAATTTTTAAATAAAAAAAAAAAATGAATACCATTTATTGTACCCATAGACTTTACATGCCACCCTGTATATATTGAGTTGTAAAAAAAGGTCGGTATATTTAATGTTTAATGTTAATGTATTGATTTACCAGTATTTGTAGTTCGTTATATTTTTTGTGAAAACCATTGAGGTTCCATCGAAGAATTTTTATAGTGTTGATTTTTTTTGTTCATGATGTTTTTCTGACGAGATTAGGATTTGGTTTTTATTAGTTGTCTTGGAATGTCTGTGTTTAAAAAATAAGATTTGATAGTTTGGTCAATTTGGTTTTCATTGGCCTATCATTTATTAATGCTCGAATTAAGTCTATTATGTTCATGATGGTGGTTATATCTGAATTTGTATAATTACATAGGGAGTTTATTTATTGATTTTTTAAAAAAATTGATCTAGGACATATTTAAACTGTTCTAAGGTTATAGCGCAATGATCGCTGGAAAATATGTCTTCAGTTGGTTGAAGCATTTCATCTAATCTACTTTCATCTCTTATAGAAAAAGAGTTTGAGCTAGTACGTACTTTTGGTTTTTTCTAAGGTTGACTTTTACTGGCATTAGGGGGAGATTGTGCGGTAGCAGATATCAGGGAAGAACTATCGGACATGGATATTGATACTTGTAGCGTTTGATTGGTTTTTTTGTGGTTCGTTTCTGAGTGGGTTATCTGTTACGGATGTTATGGGTAAATTTTCAGATGTGCTTTCATTCCAATCCATAGTTGGGGTGATATCAAGTTCATCTATTAAAAGTATTTTGGGAGATTCAGTGTTTTCCAGCAGCTCAGAGTAGTCTTCGTCTTCCGTCTCTTTTTCAGGTGTTATATTTTGATTTAAGATTGTTTGAGTATTTTCAATTTGTTTAACGTGTTTTTTTTTGCATGGATAGGACGTACTCGTATGTCCGAAAGCTTTGCACTTTTAACACGTAATTCTATCGTTCGTGAAGAAAATCCTGAATTGGGTATTATTTGCTTCTATTGCTAGGTTGCCGGGGAGTTTTTCTATGTCTAGGTGTTTTATAAACATTTGTCTTCGGAAGCTAAGATTATGATTATATCCTTCCATATTTATTCCCGCTTTTAAGTAGTTTATTTGGAAGACTGGTATTATATCTAGATTTTTAAGTGCATTTAGTATGGACGAATTGAGTATAGAAGAGCAGACATTGGAGATTACTATTCTTTTTGCTGGATTCAACAATTTGCAAATTTCAATTTCGTACTCATTTACTTTTATAGTCTTAGTGGTTTCCAAAAGTTTGTCTATAACTGCTAGACTAGATAGGAAAATACAAAAGCGATTATTGGTGATTCTCGATACAAAAATTATATTACTGGGGTCTACCAATTTTTCTATAGCTTAGATGTACTCTTTTTTAGGAACATTCTCGATGATATTAAAAACGATTGCTTGCTCTATTTTAGGAGTATTCTCGTGAGTTGTGATGGTGGCGTAGTTAATAGATTTATTTGTGTATGAATTATGACCATGTTGAATTATTTGGTAGTTGCCGGAATCATTTCTATCATTTGATTGTGTAGAATTAGTATTGGTGGTGTTACGGTAGACGGTTTTGTTGCTGGGTGCAGAGACTAGTGGAGAAGTAGTGGTCGGTTTAATATTGATAAACGGCGGCTCGGTGTGTGTAGCTGCTGACGTTACAACTGGTTTTGGTAGTGTTTGTATTAGTAGAAGTAATAAGAGGGCTGCTTCTATTATTGGCAGTTTGAGCTGTAGAGTTGTATTTGTTGCTTGTGTTAGGTTTTGAGTTATTTGTAATTAAGGTTTTGTTAAGGTTACTTGAACTGTTGGTGTTAGTGGTTTTGGACTGAGCGTCTGATTTTTTAAGCTTATTCATTATGATAGTTGTGGTTTTTGGTTTTTTTAGGAAAGATCATATTACCTGATTGACGTTATTCTATAGTGAATGCTATCAGAAGCCATAAAATGCGCTTATGTGTTGCGATAATACACGTGTGTCTCCGTCGGATGTGTAACGCGTACTAGAAAATGCGTTAAGTATCACGTTATTTGTACTGAATCATCAACTATCTAGTGCTATACGCCGATCTCTGTTAGTTTTCTTAAAATTGTAATACATTTTAAAACTTAAATTAAAGTGTACATTTTTATTTTTTATTTTAAAATCATGAAAAATCTAACCAACACATTCACTGGATTATTAATCGATAGCATTTCATTTTTGTACGTTGTTTAGAATAATAAAATGTGTTGTTGAAAAGCGCAATTAATATTAAAAGATGTACAAAGTTGTAAAAATAAATCAGTTTTGTGGTATTTTGAGTTTATTTCATTAATGTGATTTTAATTACATAAAATTTATAAACTTTTAAAATTAAGAAAAATGTAATAAACATTTTGATAAAACTTTTAATGTTGTTTTTCTCCGTATTATGGAAAAGTTTGATTAAAAAATGACTTTCGAAGAAGAGCATTCTGGCGTGCCTTATTTTCAAATAATTATAGAAATAAAATCACATTCAAATAAACGCTTTTATGTCAATCTGTCGACACTGCAACTCACAACCTCACATCACTACTTAAATAATACGTAGAGGACGTGTGGCCAAGTCGGTAAGGCGGCAGTGGGTTTAGCGCTCACTGTCGTCACCGGTTTGACACTTGGTCACAGTTTGCTGGGCAAGCCCTCTCTGGCTGTAGCCTAACGACCCGTTCCGTCTAGAAACCATCTAATGATAGTAAGGTTGGACCTCAAAAGGCCATAAAATGATGATGACTTAAGTTGTATAATTGCAATGTATTTTTTTTTTTAGATTTCAATAATATTCAACTTACGCGTCTATATTTACACCGTCGTACAATGGAGTTCAATGGCTTGTGTCTTTTATCCGTGTTTCTAGTAAGTTCTTTGAATGCCGTTTCGGGACATCAGTGTCTTAATCTTGCGCCTATGGATGGTTTCGAAATGGAAAAGGTAAGTTCAAGTAATGCATTTAATACTAAACAGGATATATTGTAACCAAATAAAACATTAATAGAGTAATAAGTATATAAATACTTATCGGATATGAAATTAACTGTAATTTTAAAAATAGCTATATTTATTTAATTTAGTACACATATGACTTGTTTACTTGTACTAATCCGTCATTTTTTCTATAGTTTTTTGGATTATGGTACGCCCTGAAAACGACGTTACCACATTCTAGATGCGTAGTGTATGATTTTTACCCAGAGGAAGTCAAATTATTTAAACCTAATTTCACTTACGATTATTTTTATGGAAAATTGGAAACCAATAATCGTTTACCATCAGACATGACTTATTTATGTAATAATCTGGATTTTTCAGGTACGTAAAATTTGGACGTTTAATTCTCAAGATTCGCCTACTCCAAAAATTATCCGATGCGCTTGTGCACAAAAAATATACATATTAAAATTACTAGTAATTTTTACCATCCGTGAGAATAAACCACATAACCTAATTTTATAATATATGTATTTTAAAAGTATAAACCGGGTATTTATATTGGTAAGACAGATTTCTATCAAAAAATTTGTGAATTCGTCCATCGTAATACACCAAACATTCCTTATTATTCAAAAATAGGGTTTAAGTGTTTAATTAGACTTACTTACTTACCGATAAACAACCAATTTATGTATACCTATGTATAATTGGTAATTTTATAATACACATTGCAGATCCTGAAAGGCACAGACCGCCTTTTGTTGTGGTCGAGACTGACTATGTATCCTATGCGACTGTGTTCATGTGCATAAAAATGGATACTGGAAGGTTCAGACATTATGTATCCATTTTATCCAGAACATTGGACTTAGACCCGAAACTGTTAAATGATGTAAATACAAAATAAAAATTGCTTTGCTTTATTGATATTTATCGTTTTAGAATAAAAAGAAATTAATTCAATATGATTTTTTGAAGTTAAAAAAATGTATTGTTTGTTCTTTAATCTACAGTTGATGAGAGATTTAATTGATGTAAATGAAACTCTACAACTCAAACACGTTTACCACGAGGACTGTAATTATGAGAGTCTCGTTGCAGATACTAATGATGAGAATGTCACTGATAGTGAGAACGACGATAAGAAACCTTACGTTACTATCAAATGGATGCGACAACCTACACCAGAAGGAGGCGTTTAAGTTGATTAAATACGAATAAATTCGATAGATTTATAGTTTGTCAATGTAAAGCTAACCCTGTTGCTAAACCATTTTAAAATTATAATGTTTAATGTAATCTATAAAAAAAGTAATCATAAAACCTTTTACTTTTGTTTATAATTTAGCTTAGTATAAATGTATTTATTATGCTTATTAAATAAAATTAAACTGTACCAGATAATATTTCAAAGTAAAAAATTATTTAAAATTGGAAATGTCTTAAAAGTTTTTTGTTATTAATTTAATTAAATACTTAAAAAATAATAATATTGTCCTATGCTCATAATTCAAATCTGAAATGGTTATTGAAGGAATACAAGTAAGTCAAAACCTGGAAGAAGTAAAAAGCGGGCTAAGAGTAGTTTTTTGACAAAGAACAACGCGAAAAAGCGTTGGTAGTGTTTTATGATTTTTTGTTGTTCAAAACTTGCACAAAACTTAATAGTATCATTCTGCATACACATATAAATAAAATTGTTTTAATGATTTGATACAATTTTTTTTAAAGATATTAGGTGTTTTTGTTAAAATATACACAATCTGCGAAAACCCGGTTTTCCGGCAATTAAAGGAAAACTGTAGTGCCGATTTTGTTCCGTTCAATATGTTATGGATACATATGCGTTCTAACTATTGACATATTTTCAACTTAAAGGTCCTAAAATTACGGCTAAAAAAACTAAAAAATTTGAACCTCTCTAGGGGGTTGGGAAACGGATTTAATTTAAATTTGATACAACTGGCGTGTGCGGGTATACCAGATAAATATTCCTTAAAAATTTCAACTCGATCCGACTCTTTTTCTCGAAATTATAGCTAATAATAGATCTAAATTAAAAACTCGTACGGTTATTTTTTTGTTTTTTTCAAATTTCGACTGTGAAGAAGTAAACTTTTTCAACATTTACCCCCTCCCCCCCCCCAAAGTACCAACTAGATGAAATTTGTGATTTATAGAGTTGCCACTTAAAAGAATTGGTCCAGTATTAAAAAAGTTACAATGTAATGTACAGACACAAAAAAAGCTCACACCATTGCAAAAGCCAACAGCATCACTGCTCCACATCAAAGTTATAAAATAGATCCATCAATTTCAAAAACGCTCATTGCTTTGTATTCTACTCGATATTAAAGTATTTATTATTGAGGTGACACCAAAAAGTTCGTGGTAAATTTTCAACAAATCAGTGGTTTCATTTTAGGTCAATGCGAAATTATTTCAACTTGTTGTTAGAAAAGTTTTTGTATATTTTCGCAAATCGGTGAACGTGATTTAAAAGTGACACCGAGTTCAAAAGTAAACGAATATTTAAAAATAGGATTTGAAGTGTTGTTTATCGAATTCTCGCCTAAGCGTTTACACGAAAACACAATTTTCTTAGCACAATTTTCATACCCGTTTGATGTACAAATAATATTAAATGAGAAAAAAAACATTATAAACATTACTACTGCGTACTAGATGGGTATAATAACAATAACGAGTAAACGTTTTCAAAAATTTACCCAAAAACGTATAGCTGTAATTACAATTGTATGACCAAAGTGTGAGTCTGAGTTTACTGTTTTTCCTATATTTTTCGATAAATATTATTTTGACACCATACTACTGACAATATTCTTTATCATCAACACGATGACTATGATTGGACTCCTCTTACTTAAGATGGATATGTAATTTAATAAAATATAAAACCAAAATTTGTATCATTCGTTGTCCTACTTTGATCTACAAAAAAAAACTTTAAATCAAATTGCAGAATTAAAAAACAAAAAAATAAACGTCCTATTCATAAATACACTACACTGATGTTTTATGTTGTTTGTTAGACTTATCTTCAGACTAATTGTCAGTTCTTAAATCTTAAAAATGCGCCAAAAATATGTCAACCTTTCTCGCAGGGGGGTGGGAGATTGTCAAAATTTCGGTTTTCCATGTGCGATTTTGTTGATAGCACATTTTATATTGAAAATGCTAAGGTTATAATAAATCGAAAATATTTTCAAAAAAACTTTTTCCATCGATAAATATTCATACATTTTAGGCAGAAAAAAACGTCGATCTACCGACAAAAACAGTGTATAAAATGGCAATGTTTGAATTTCCAATCTTTTTTTTGTTTTCTTTTGCACATCTTAGTGTTACACGTTGAAAATCCAAAGGTCATAGCAAATCGTCGAAACTTGGAAATGTTATCGAATCGGATACACTATTAACATACCATTTGCGCACATAGATATTGTATTATTATACGACTACTGTCTGTAATAGTCCGTAAAACAATTAGTAACCTAACCATAAGTATAGCTATCGACGGGTATTCACAAGGGAAAAAGCCATTAAAATTGGGGTCGGGACTTAAGTTGGACCGAACTGACTGAATGTGATAAAATCACTTTTAAAAAAACCAGTACAGTGGGGTCGGTGCATAGTGGGGACGGAACATAGTTGGGTCGGGGCATATAGGGGGACGGGAGGTCACAGGTTTACAGGAATTTTTAAATCTGAAAGTAATAAAATCACTTTCGAAAAAACGATTCGATGCAAATTGGAAGTTAGTATTTTCAAGCCAGTACAGTCCAAACCAAGCACAGTATAAACCAGCAAAGTTAGAAAGTTTTAAATGAAGGTTCTGTATTTACAAATGAGCATTAAAGCGTTTATTTGAAAGCGATTTTATTCAATTTTATCACTTTTATTTATAATAATTCTTGTAGACCTGTGACCTCTCCGTTTCCTCATACTCTACTGTACTAGTCCTCTTGGATAAAATCAATTTTTTTTAAAGATTTTAGGTGTTTTTGTTAAAATATACGCAATGTGCGAAAACACGGTTTCCCGGCAATTAAAAAAAAACTGTAGTGCCGAATTTTTTTTCCGTTTAATGTGTTATGGGTACATATGAGTTCCAACTACTGGCAAATTTTCAACCCAAAAGTTTTAAAATTACCGCTAAAAACCCCGAAAAACAAAAAAACTTGTACCCCCCCTAGGGGGTCGGGAAATGGGTATAGTTTAAGTTTGACACAACTGACGTGTGCGGGCATACCAAATAATTATTTCTTATACATTTCAACTCGATCCGACTCTTTTTCTCGAAATTATAGCCATTAAAAATTCTAACTTAAAAACTCGTACGGTTTTTTTTTTGTTTTTTCAACTTTCGTCTGTGAATAATAAATTTTTTTCAACTTTTACCCCCCCAAAGTACAAACTATACAAAATTTGTGATTTATAGAGTTGCTATTCGAAGGAATTGGTCCAGTATTAAAAAAGTTACAGTGTATACAACGAAAAAAAAAGCCCACATCAGAGTAAAACCAATACCTTCTCGCTTTGCATCGAAGCTAAAATTTCATTAAAACCTAAAACTTATGCTTGGGCACTCAAAACTTACCGGGACCACTCTAAATAGTATCCGTTAAAATAGTGGCATAATTTGATAATTTTTTTTTTTAAACATTTACCATCTGCGAAAAACATTTTTCCGGCAATTTAAAAAAAAATGTACTCCAGAATTTTTTTATTCGTCTAATATGTTATGGGTACATAATAATATGAGTTCTGACTCCTGATAAATGTTTTCAACTAATAGGTCTTATAATTACGGCTAAAAACACAAAAATCTTTGCACCCCTAAAAAAGTAGGAGTCTATACGGACAAAAAAAAACCTACAACAAAATGCAAATATATTTCAGATACCAGCTGTTGACTGTTCCTTCACCCTTACTCATTGCAACCTACAAACCTACTACCATAACATCGTAATTCCCCCCTTAGTTTGTTTTTACCCTAATAAAACAAAGCGTCACTCCATATATTTAAGTAAATTTTATGTGCTTCATTCTAGGAAAAACTTATGGCATACTAAGTAAACACAACTATTTTTTTTTAATAAGTAAAAACTTTACTATAGCTATAATCGATCTCGAAAGTCTTTTCATAATCTTCTAAACGCCAGTAGTTAGAACCTCGTGTCTTAAATTGTACTGAGTTATACTAATTAAAAAAAACAATACATATTGGAAAAACAATTATAAAAACTATCACTGTGTCTTGAATCAGGATGTGTGATGAAGTTTTTTGCGGTTTGACAATCAAACGAAGCAAATACTGTTAATTTTTAAAAGTCGTTAGTGTTTTAAAAAAGTATTTAAACAGCGAAAAATGTAATAAAAATAATTAGGATTAAAGGAAAGATAAACGGAAGAAGTTAAGACGAAAACAATTGCTGGTTGATAAAATAATTTTCATAAAAAAGGTATAAAATTCTTAATGTGACATTGCCGCCGTTAGTATATTTTATTTAGTAGAAATATGAAATAGGTATTAAAAAAAGCACTGTGAAGACAATAATATATTTATAGGCGGACTTAGGGGTGGCCTAAAGGGGCATTAGCCCCTCCAATATGTGATTTAGCCCCACCGAACCCAATTGATTTTTTTATTTTAGTAAAATTCTTATTTAATTTTCTATTACCTAAAAAAGTATAAAAACCATTTTTTTTCAAATATGCCTTTTTTATAAATATATTTTAATACTTAGTTTTTTTTAGACTAGTTGGATAACGTTTGATTGTGGTTTATGTGTCATTTTACACAAGACAACTTCTAATGTTTTATTATCCTGGCGGCTGACCGCCAACCGTCTAGTGGCAAGACCTATTGGGAGGGTGGGGTGAAGGGTTGTTATTGTCATTGTAGACTACTTTTCCACAGCTAAGTATAAACAAATACAAAATATAAACATTGTATATATATCTATATATAAAGCAAACTTATCGCAGATATTATAAAAATAGTTGAAAACCCGTGGTAAAATGAAATGTTTTTTTTTTATGTTAAAACATTTTGGGGTATATGCCAAGATAAAAAATATAACCAATTCATTGTCTATTTTACTGACAAATAATACAGATAGTGTTTTTAATACATGAAAATATTTCAGTTTGTTTTGGCAAATGGAGCTTGTTATAT